TTGGGGGGGGGGACAACAGTGGGAGGGGGCGTCTAGTGTCCTGGCCCCACTGCTGGACCTCCCAATGGCACCTGGTATTTTTTGGCCACGGTGTGACTCAGAGTGTCTGACTGGATGGGGCATTGACCTGATCCAACATTGGCGTCTCTTATGTTCTTATGACACTGGATTTCCTTGGTGGTCTCCCATTTGAGTACTAATCAGGTCTAACTTTGCTTAGCTTCTGAGATCTGAGGAGGTCGGGCTACCTTGGACCATCCAGGTCAGGTCAGACGTTCAGGGGAGGTCTGCTATTGCCTGCCTCTGCGTAGCGACCCTGGGCTTCCTTGGCGGTCTCCCATCCAAGGACTAACCAGGGCCGATTCTTCTTAGTTCCCAGGCTCTGAGGAGGTTTGGCTAGTCCGGGCTATTTCGGCTGCTGCCTTCAGGATTAAAGAGCTCTTATTCCGCCACAAGCTTTTGTGGACCGCAGCCGACTTCATCCGATGTCGTTATCGATCCGCTCCTTGCAGAACCCTTGAAAAGCTTCCAAGCGCAGCCCGGACTCAATGGGCCGCAGTCTGAAAACCATTGATATAAATGTAGCCCGAAGAATCGTATTGGAAACGGGGAATCAAAGCCTGCATTTCAAACAGATACTTAAAAAAAAAAAAAATCTATGTTGCCCTCTTTGAAATTGGTATCTCAAAAGTGCACGGAGACCTCTCCAGTCAGATTTCTTTTCTTTTTCTTTTTCTTTTTTTAATAATAATTTTTATTAGTTTTCCACACTTTACCAAACAAAACCAAACACAAATATATACATAACAACGACATCAAACACATACACATCTAAATAACCATCACCAACCAACCCCCTTGTCCCCTGCTTTGTTCTCCCATATCACATTGATCCCCAGTTTGGTTGAAATACTTCTGAGTTGTCTTTAATATTCTCTATTCACCATTATACATTACTTATTTCAAAGTCTTAGTTGCATTTCAACCAACAATTTCCCACTAGCTCTCTTAAATCTATCTAATCTAGAATTAAATGAAATGTACACTGGAAATACTAATCAGTTGCGATATTCTTTTTCCTTATAAATTAACAAAGTTCATCTTGGGTTGCTTCACATTTCCAAACCTAGTTATCGTATCCAAGTTCAACCTCAAAATTCAAAGTTATTTTGCGTACTTAAGTCTCTTCAGGTCATTTAACAAATTTCATTCAAACAATTAACCATCTAGGTCTATTATTTCCCATATAACCAAGATTTAAAGAGAATCTATGTTGCTTACACGGAAAGATGTTTCCCATCATTAACCTATTTACAACACACTCTTCTACCGATTTCTTGCCATTTCTTTCCCCTACTTCTGCTTATCATAACCAGCTCTATTCGTTTTGACTGTCAGCTAACACCATTTTCTTACATGGCCTGTTTCAAGAAAAACAGTATTCCAAGTTCTCACAATAACCTCCACCCCATCTGCAACTAGCCAAGTATATTTTTCACATATTTCCATCTTGTTATAACTCTAGGTATTTTCCATCTAAGTTGGCTTACCTATTTAATCTCTTCAAGTCCTGAGAAAAACAAAAAAGAAATTCATTCAAACAATTCACTCAGGTCTTGAATAAATTTCATTCAACAATTAATCATCTAAATTCGTTATTTTTCCCTCCAATGTGGGCTTGAACAAAATCAATACTACTTATACAAGAAGGGTTTCCCGTCACTAACATATTTACACCACACTCATCTACCAATTTCTTACCATTCTCTTACCTACTTCTACTTATCAAAACCAGCTCTGTTCGTTTAACTGTTCGCTAGCACCATTTTCTCCCACGGTCGGCTTCAAAAAACAATATTTCTCATGCTCACAATAACCTCAACCCCATCTGCAACTAATCAATACATCTTCACATATTTTCATCCTGTTGTAGTTCTGAATACTTTCCATCTTCTGATTTTCCCCATTGTCTTGCAAATGACGCGGATTTTTGTACTCCTTTAGGATCTGTCAAGGATGGGTGAGTGGGCGTCAACATGGCAAATGGGGTTCAATGTGGCCAAGTGCAAGGTGATGCACATTGGAGCCAAAAAATCCTAAATATAAATACACATTGATGGGGTCTGAACTGGCAGAGACTGAGCAAGAGAGAGATCTTGGAGTTGTAGTGGATAACTCACTGAAAATGTCGAGACAGTGTGTGACTGCAATATAGAGGGCCAAGGCTATGCTGGGGATTATTAGGAAGGGTATTGAAAACAGATCAGCCAATATAATAATGCCCCTATATAAATCAATGGTGAGACCTCATTTGGAATACTGTGTGCAGTTCTGGGCACCACACCTTAAAAAGGATATTATAGCTTTGGAAAAAGTGCAGAAAAGGGCAACTCGAATGATAAAAGGGTTGGAACACTTTCCCTATGAGGAAAGGTTAAAGCGCTTAGGGCTCTTTAGCTTGGAGAAAAGACGACTGAGGGGTGACATGATCGAGGTTTATAAGATTATGCATGGGAAAGAGCAGGTAAAGAAAGAGGTACTTTTCTCCCTTTCTCACAATACAAGAACTCGTGGGCACTCCATGAAACTGCAGAGCGGTCGGGTTAGAACGGATAAAAGGAAGTACTTCTTCACCCAAAGAGTGATTAACACATGGAATTCACTGCCACAGGAAGTGGTGGGTGCTACAAGCATGGACGGCTTCAAAAGGGAATTAGATAAGCATATGGAGCAGAGGTCCATCAGTGGCTATTAGCCACAAGGTATAGCTAGGGGCTCTGGGGCAAGTGATGCTCTGTCTTCTTGGTGCTTGGGGGGGGGGTGTCAACAGTGGGAGGGCTTCTAATGTCCTGGCCCCACTGCTGGACCTCCTGATGGCACCTGGTATTTCTGGCCACCGTGTGACACAGAGTGTTGGACTGGATGGGCCTTTGGCCTGATCCAACATTGGCGTCTCTGATGTTCATAGTCTCTAAGAGAGACCTTCTATATTTGCCTGTATGCTCGTTCAGTTGATTGAAGCTTTTAAACTTCTTTAATTCTTTCTTTATTTTTCCCCTCTTTACTGTGTTCCGCTTACTCCACTGTTTTTTTGTCCCTCCTCTTTTGAGCTTTTTCCCTCTTCCCAAAGTACCTTTTATCAAAGCCGTTTCCTTTATCCTTTCTTCTGTATACAGGTGTTGCAAATCAGGCTGCGTTTCTTGTTGCTCTCCCTCCTGCTTGCATTCCCGCCAGCCGTTACAAACTTGTATCTCTTGTGTTTGCTGTTCAATATCCTTAACCTCTATGCTTAAACTCTGGGAAATTCTAAAATCCTTGTCCCATACCAGTTGGAGTGCTTTGTCTATTTCTTTCCTTAAACTTTCTTGAAACTGTTCCGACTTAAGCTCTGCAAACAGTCTCTCGCAGACCAACGCCGCCGCCATTTTCTCACTAAGTTTCTTTGCAGAGCTGTGGCAAATACTTTCTTTACAAAGCTGTAGCAAATGCTTCTGATATTTTTATCATTCTTGCCGGTGAGCTAGAATAATATTTCCAGCAAAGAAAATTTGTCTCTTACCCCCTCCGCATTCTTCTTACTCGGTTCCCATACACGCTCTCCGGCCGTTTTTCTTGCGCCAAAAGGGATATCCACAAAAGGAGTTGGTAGAGATCCATTTAAATAAACAGTATTCACCCGCCAAAATCTTCAATGTGACATGGAAAATAGTCCTCAAAACACACGCACAAAAAAAAAATACAAGTTCACCACATTAAAAGTTCGGGTGGCTGTTGCTTGTGAGGGCATGAGACCATGCCCCCTCCATTCCGCGGTCCCGCTTCAGGGCGATAGCGGACACCCCCCCGCGTGCCAAAATCGGAGTGGGGCCGCCACAAGCCCTCTGCTGCTAACTCTCCCTCCAGGAGAGTTAGGAGAAGCCCACCCGGTGACCGGGGGGCTCCTAGAACACGCGAAAGGCTCCGGCGAAGCGCTGCCGCGCCCACCCGTCACAACGCCATACCGGAAGTCAAAAGACTCCAGTCAGATTTCTTGTGGTCCATGTAGACTTGCTCACAACTTTAATGCCGTTAGCTTTTTTTCGCTCACGGGGTAGAATTTTAGCTCACAACACTGTAGCGGAGAGGGAACACGGGTCCCAATCCACTGTGCTGATGGCTCTGCTGATGTTCTGAAACCTGAAATGCTTTTATGGCTCCTGACTTGTGTAATGTTCCGTCTAAGCTGTGGAGTCTTGTGAGCAAAAATTCTACTTTGTGAGCTGCGGGCATTACAGTTGTGAGCGAGCAATTTGGCTACCGCAGAAATTAGTTTGCTCTGGAGCCATCCCTTCCTGAGCAGAGACAAAAATCTGTGAGCTGGAGGCTAAAACACTGATCTAGCTCACACTAACTCAGCTTAGAGGGAACACCAAGCTCTTTTGCTCTTTTCTAAGATAAGGGGCGGGCCAAAGATGCCCCCGCCCCTGTGTGACATCACTTCCTCTTTCCAGCGGGTCTTGCCTTGCCTCCTCCGGGGCCTCTTCCTGAGAGCTGCTTGTTAGCCGAATTGCTCCTTAAGGGAAACAACCGGTACAGTTATTATTATCGGGATTCTTCCGTCTATGTTTACGGAGGATGGCACTGTTTCCGAGGTTCCCAATGAAAGACTTATCTTGAGGGACAGAGTAGAAAAGACAAGTATTCAGACAAAGAATTAAATAGACTTTAGAAATGTAGATACTTTACCTGCTAGAACTCATTGTTATTCCATAAGCATAATCTCTGCTGGGTGGAGGGGGAAGACTGGAGGCTTGCTCTGCGGTTGCCTGTCACCTGAAAATGGAGACCCCTTTTTCAGAGCTGTGGCTAGCTCTGTGTTTCAGAACCAAGAGTGCCTTCCTTGGCCTGAGTTTTGTGGGTCTCTGGATCAGGTTAGAAGTGGGGTGCCCCTGCTATCGGGGCTACCCAAGAGTAAAAGGCAGCGCCTCTGGCAACATGCTTCCTGTAATGGCTGGTGTAACATGGGACAGGAGAGCTCCCCGGTGTTTTTGAACCCTGTGGGCATCTTTGGAATTCTGACACAAGTTGGTGGGCCCAACCCCCGAAATGGCTGCCACAGGAGGCGGAGGGACATGCACAGAGTGAGCCCAAATGAAGGGGAGAAGAGGGGTACTTTAAAAATATCAGGAGGAACTTCCTAACTGTAAGGGTGGTTGAGCAGTGGGACAGTCTGCCTCGGGAGGTGGTGGAGGCTCCTTCGCTGGACGTTTTCAGGCGGAGGCTGGACGACCATCTTTCGGGTATGTTGTAGGCAATGTTCCCTTTAAGCTGTGGAGTCTTGTGAGCAAACATTCTACTTTGTGAGCGACTGGCGTTAAAGTTGTGAGCGAGCCATTTGGCTACTGCATAAATTAGTTTGCTCTGGAGCCCTCCTTCCTGAGCGGAGACAAAAATGTGTGAATCGGAGGCTAAAAAACTGTGAGCTACCTCACACTAACTCAGCTTAGAGGGAACACTGGTTGTAGGGCTGTCTTTCGGCTCTGCTCCTTCATAGTGCAGGGGGCTGGACTAGATGACCCGCAAGGTCCCTTCCAACTCTCACATTCTGTGATTCTGGACCCTGGGACAGAGAAGTGAGGGAGAACAAAACAAACGCTATGGTGAAAGCCGTCACTGAAGCAAGGTTATCTTAACCTGCATAGCCAATCAGGAGCCCAGTTGCCTTCTTTCTAAAAGAGAAAAGTGTACAGGTGTGCAGCAGAGGCTTTCTAAGAACACTTGGTGTGGGGCAATGTTCCCTCTAAGCTATGGAGTCCTGTGAGCAAAAATTCTACTTTGTGAGCTCCTGGCCTTAAAGTTGTGAGCAAGTGATTTGGCGACTGCATAAATTAGTTTGCTCGGGAGCCGTCCTTCCTGAGCGAAGGCAAAAATGTGTGAGCCGGAAGCTAAAAAACTCTGAGCTAGCTCACACTAACTCAGCTTAGAGGGAACACTGGTGTGCGGTCGAAAATTATGTCAGCAGGCACGCTCGTGCCCGTGGGCACCTCGTTGGGGAACCCCTGTGGCACACCGTTCACACACATTGTGTGACTTGGGCGACTCTTGCCTTCTGTACCGCATACTTTTCCTTTTCAGCCACGATGGCTTCGCGGAGGAGATGAAGCCTCTCTACACGTGAGCCTTGTGGTGGAGAAATGTCCCTCTGCTCATCCAGCACCTGTTTGGTAAACATTCTTGCTTTGCCCCAGAGTGAGCGGACCGGTTCCACCTATCCCGCTCTCCCTCCAAGGGATTCAGGGGTTTTCCCCTTCCCATTTTCAGCCCCAAAGGAAGATCGGGCTGAGAGAAAGTGACAGGCCCACGGTCAGGCGGTGGGCTTCATGTCTGGGTGGGGATTTGACCCTGGTTGTTGGGATTCTAACCACTGTACCGCACTGTTCGCTCAGAATGAGCATCCCTGTCATTCTGGACCTGCTTGCAGCTAGGAACTAACGCTGGTCTGCCCTACAGAGGTGTTGTTCTGAGACTTTCTGAAAGAGTATAGCTTCCCACTTCGGTGGGAAGGTCACAGCGTTCCGTGCGCCTTGGTGTTTAGTCATGCCGGCCACATGACCACGGAAACGTCTTCGGACAGCGCTGGCTCTTCGGCTTGGAAACGGAGATGAGCACTGCAACCCTAGAGTCGGACTCGACTGGCTTTCGGGCAAGGGAACCTTTACCTTTTTTATAGCAGATCTAATTTGAATTTCTTCCCCCCCCCGCCGCCCCACTGTATGTGGTTTCTTGCCCTGACTTGGGTAAGCTGATATTTATCAGATATCAGAAGCTAAGCAGGGTCGGCCCTGGTTAGTATTTGGACCGGAGACCGGCAAGGAAGTCCAGGGTCGTTTTGCAGAGGCAGGCAAGGGCAAACCCACCTCTGTATATCTTTTGCCTCGAAAACCCTCCGGGGTCACCATAAGTTGGCTGCGATGTAACGAGGAAAGAACAAAAATACCGTCTCTTCACTCCCCAGTTGCTTGGTGTGGATTCCAAGCATTATTTGCATTCTGAAAGAGTACAAAAATGGCTTCTTCCTAAAAACTGAAAAGAAAACTGGGCACGTATTCAGCAGAGGCGTGTCCATCCCCTTTTCTCCCCAGCCAAGAATCCTCGTTCCCTTTTGCAAGCAGCTGCGGCGGTGTTCCCTCTCAGCTGAGTCACTGTGAGCCAGCGCGCAGTTTTTTAAGCCTCCGGCGCACACGTTTTTGCCTTAGCTCGGGAAGGAGGGCTCCGGAACAAACTAATCTATGCAGAAGCCAAATCGCTGGCTCACAATTTTAATGCCGGTAGCTCGCAAAGCAGAAGCTTTGCTCACAAGACCCCACAGCTTAGAGGGAGCGTTGAGCTGCAGTAGTGAGCTGCAAATGCATCTCCGGGCGGAGTCCTCCTCCTCGGGTGCTGCCGGTTCCCCCTCCCCCCTCTGCTTCCCTCCCCCCTAATCTTGCAGCTGTGCTGGGGGTGGAAGGGGAGAGAGAATCCGCTTACAGGGCACATTTCTTCCCCCCAACACTGTAGAATAAATAGACCAAAGTCTGCGCCAGCTCACGATGCAGGTGTGGTGGTGAGATCCTTTTGGAGATAACAGTTGCAAAAGAATCTCGAGTACTTGAGTAAGGCATCGGAGGGACTGAGCAAAGGTCGGCCTAGTCCGGCGCTTTAAGCAACAGCACTGGCCGGTCTGGTTTCCCTGGGAAACGACCGACAGGCCCCGTGGGCAGTTTCTCCCAGGAGCCTCAGGGTCTAAAGGTAGACTGCTCCCTAATATGGAAGCTCCATCTTCAGCTGCCGTGTCTAACAGCCATTGAGCTCTCTGAGCTAGGGCCCCTCTTAGTCACTGAATTCCAAAGATTAAATCTCGGTGGCGGCTCCATACGGGTAGAATGAGCTCCCGGAGGAGATCAGGGCCCTGCGGGACCTCCTACAGGACACAGGGTCACTCCTCGGTATTTAGGTGGCTCCTAGTCAAAAGCCTGGTGGAAGAGCTCTGTTTTAGCTACTAGCCCTGGTGACTGAAGGGAACCTCCACATTCAGAGGCAGTCAACCTGTGAATCCCAGTGCCAGGAAGCAACATAAGGGGAAGGCCTCAGCCTCCGTACCCTGTTCGTTTGACCACTGTGTGAGATAGGATGCTGGACTAGATGGACCTCTGGCATTTTCCAGCAGGGCTCTTCTTATGTTCTTATTTGGGGAAGGACTTGGCCTCTTTGCCCTGGTGGTTTGACCTCCACAGTAACCGGTTGGCCGCTGTGTGAGGCAGGATGCTGGACTAGGTGGACCCTCACTGGTCTGATCCGGCAGGGCTCTCTTATGTTCTTACGAAGGCCTCGGCCTCTCTGCCCTGTTGTTGGCCCTCTAGAAGAACTGGTTGGCCCCTGTGTGAGATGGGATGCTGGACTAGATGGACCCTCACTGGTCTGATCCAGCAGGGCTCTTCTGATGTTCTAACAAAGGCCTCGGCCTCTCTGCCCTGTTGTTGGCCCTCTAGAAGAACTGGTTGGCCCCTGTGTGAGATGGGATGCTGGACTAGATGGACCCTCACTGGTCTGATCCAGCAGGGCTCTTCTGATGTTCTAACAAAGGCCTCGGCCTCTCTGCCCTGTTGTTGGCCCTCCAGAGGAACTGGCTGGCCCCTGTGTGAGGCAGGATGCTGGACTAGATGGACCACTGGTCTGATCCAGCAGGGCTCTTCTGATGTTCTCATGAAGTCATTAATTCATAGTTTTGCCATAAGTTGGAAGGGACTCGACGGCACTTAGCACACAACACAAACAGTGAGAAACAGGCTAGCCGAGTTGGCTGTTTGGGGATTATTTGACAGGGTGGAAGACAGGATAGAAAATGGGTACAGAATCAGTAAGCCTGGGAGGAGGCAGGCGGAGTGAATTTGATAGTGGGGCGCCCCACGAACCTTGTTTTAGGCTGCCGTCCAGGCTGGTGTTTTAACGTACCTGCAACAGGCAGATCTTTAGGGAGTAAAGTAAAAGCAAAGAACCTGGTCCTAGTCACTTATTAATGAACAGCTTGATGGCCCTGTAATCGCAGCGGAGATCCATAAGATTTGCCAAAGCAAAGGAAGGAGAGATTGGCTCGGATACAAGAGAAATTATTGAGAGGGGAGGGGGTGGGGATGGGGAGATAGATCCTGTCCTTCGTTGTTGTTTTTAGGCAAATGAGGAATCAGCTGACGCCAGGAATAGCTTTCTTGGAAGTTTGTGCTTGTCGGTGCCAGGGAAAAAAATAAATACACGTTTCTCGCAGTGCAAAAGCAGCTTTAAAAATACTTTCAGATTCACCTAGGGTTGAGAAAGGAGCCGGCATTCAAAATTGATAAAGGCCTATGGTGAAGATGGAGCCCCTAGTCTGCAAGTGGTGTGTGTGTGTGAGCAGCCAAGAACACAGGGCGGGTGGGAGACGGGAGGCGCGAGGGCCAGTGGGCATGAGGCGGTGGTTGCCGAACATTGGTTATTTTACCAGCCTTGCCTGTATTTAGAGCCAGTTCAGCGTAGTGGTTGAGAGCGGCGGACTCTAATCGGGAGAACCGGGTTTGATTCCCCACTCCTCCTCCACATGCGGCTGGCTGGGTGACCTTGGGTCAGTCACAGCTCTCTCAGAGTTGTTCTCTCAAGAGCAGTTCTCTCCAGAGCTCTCTCAGCCCCACCTTACCTCACTGGGTGTCTGTTGTGAGGAAAGGAAGGGAAGGAGTTTGTAAGCCGCTCTGAGACTCCTTCGGGTAGTGAAGGGTGGGGTATAAATCCAACCTCCTCCTCCTCTTTCTTCTGACCCTACCCTAAGGGCCTAGACCAGAGAGGAACCAGCAAGACCTGGGCCTGAGTCCCGCCCATCACACCCCCGCCTTGCCTGCTGAGCTGTGACGCTGGGCGATGTGAGCGCAACGCAGGAGCGGCAAGCCCAGGCCACGAGCCAAGCAGTGGAACGTCATCCTCGTGATTTCCTGTAATCCCATTGGCGAGGCTAAGAGGCCAAAAGGTTTTATAGGGCGATGGTTAGTTGGAGCTGTTTTGTTCTCCGTGAACCACAATGATGGGAGAAAGAGGAACATTGTTAAAAGAGCTTTCTGCCTGGAGCACACGATGCTCCAGACTCCGGCCGCGGGAGGAATCTTGCC